CCATTAATAACTTCACAACAGCAATAGCAAACATTGATTGCACACTGAGCTAGAAACCTATACAGATATTGACGAATGTATTAATAATTTTCTAAAAAAAACCCAATACCTCTATAACAAGCACTGCCCTAAAAAAACTAAACAGATGACAGCAAAGAGACTGAACAGTCCCTGCTAACACCCAGCATTCTCAAATCCATAAATACAAAACACCAATATGAAAAACAGTACAGAATGGGTCACATAACAGAGACCAAACAAAACGTTACTCGTCAATCCTAACCAGCCTGATAAGAAGGGCAAAAAAATTGTATTATGAGAACAGATTATCCAACTTACGAGGTGATATAAAAAAGACCTGGAAAACCTCATCAGAAATTCTGGGAACAAAAAAGATATCACGAAATAGCGAAATAAAATTAGCAAAATCAGATGAACCCCAACTCCCACCAACAGAAACAGCAAACAGACTCAATGATTTCTTCTCCACTATAGGACAAAACCTTGCCAATAAAATCCCAAGCTCAGATACCCCACCAAATGACTACCTCACGGCAACTACCCGAACACACTGTTTCCTAGCTCCGACTAACCCATACGAAGTCTCCCTTATTATCCAACGCACTAAAAAACAAGGCAGGAGATTTAAATACCTTACCACCCTTATATACAAAAAAGTGTCACAAGTGCTATCACCAATCATTGCAACACTCTTAACAAATCCATTGAATCCTCCACCTTCCCTACAGTACTCAAAATAGCAAGGGTCACCCGATCCACAAAGGAGGAGACCAAACAGAGTTGAATAACTATAGGCCAATATCCAACTTACACCCTCTCTCAAAAATCTTTGAAAAATAATTCATAAACGAATCTACTCCTACCTTATCTCCCAAAACATACTCAACCCCTGCCAATTGGATTCAGGCCTAATAAAAATACTAATGATGCTATTATACACATGCTAGAACATATATACACTGCAATAGAGAAAAAAGAAGTCCCACTGGGGATCTTCATTGACTTACGTAAAGCTTTTGATACAGTTGACCATGACTTGCTCCACGTAAAATTGTCACACTATAGTATAAGAGGGCACTCCCCAACTACCTCAAGTCATACCTCACAACAGAAGCCAATATGTGTACACAAATGGGGCAAACTCTTCTGCGCAACCAATTACAGTTGGTGTCCCACAGGGAAGTGTCCTTGGCCCTCTTCTCTTTCTCCTATACATAAATGACCTTCCAAATGCTCGCAATTACTCAAACCCACACTATTTGCAGATGACACTACATACGTCTTCTCTCACCCGAGCCCAGTCACGCTAGCCAATACTGTAAATACCGAATTACAGAAAATATCTACCTGGATGAGGACTAACAAACTTACACTAAACATTGACAAAACCTACTTCATTCAGTTTGGTAACAGAGCTACAGATGTCCCTCTTAACATAATAATAAACGGATCACCTATCACAAAACTAACAGAGGGAAAATTCTTAGGAATCCACCTTGATAATAGACTCAAATTTCATACACATATACAACAAATTCTAAGAAAATTTCCAAGACTGTAGGCATACTATCGAAGATACAGTACTATGTTCCACAGTCAGCCCTCCTGGCCCTATATCACTCTCTTATTTACCCCTATCTCACCTATGGAATTTGTGCATGGGGCTCAACAACAATTAACCATCTCAGACCACTAATTACTCAACAAAAGGCTGCAGTTAGAATGATAACAAATTCTCACTACAGGCAGCACACTCCACCAATATTCAATACACTAAACCTACTCACCATACAAAACATTCATACTTATTACTGCACCTATTACATACATAGAACACTTAACTCTGATATTAACCCTCCCCTCAAACATCTCCTTGCCAACTCAACAGAACACATGACCATAACACAAGGCACAGATCACTCTTTGATGTTCCTCGTGTCTATCTCACACTATGCAAAAACTCAATGCACATAAAAGGCCCTAAAATCGAATTCATTACCTGTAAATATAAAAAGAAACACTACCTGTTTATAAATTCAAGTCTCATTCTCAAAGATCATTACTCACCCAAAACCAAATAAATACTGAATAACTGAACCTTATAAATTGTATATCTTAAATGTTTCTCACAATTATATCACATAAATGTTAAACCTAAAACCGAATCTAACTTTATTATTTTTTAAATACACTACCTAACAGAATCACTACCTAACTGAATGCAACCATATGACCTGTCTTTGTAATACTCACTTGTGCTTTATAGTAATCTGTTTACATTAATGTTTTATCACTGATTTCATCATTGCTTAGTTAATCTTAAGTTAATTTTAAGCCAGCCCGTAATGCTATGCATAGTATAAGTGGCTTTGGCATACTGCTCTTATCTGTATTTTTTTGTACCTCTGTATGTGTGCTCAAATTGGAAATAAATAAATAAATAAATAAATAAATAAATATACAGTGGTACCTCAGGATACAAACTTATTTAATTCCAGAAGGCTGTTCGAGTGCTGATACAGGTATCAGCACAGGTATCGAATGCTGATACCTGTTCGTTTCCCGAGGTACTACTGTATACTTGTTCTCAATGTATCTGTATTCATCTCAAGTGTTATTCACTCCATTGTGTCCGCCTAAGGTTAATAATCAAAATTGTACGCCTTCTCTAGTAAAGCCATATAGTATGACCTAATAGAATACTTAGTTCTTTTGTATTCATTGAAACTCATCTGACTACATGTATATGTACTGTTATTGCCTCATTAATCATAAGTTAATTTTAAGTTTGCCCAAAATACTCTGCATATAAAGGGGCTTTTGGCATGTACACCCAATTATTATATTTCTTTGTGCAAACATGTATCATGTCAGAATAAATTATTATTAACCCTTTGAGGGTCGACAGGCCCTCTCCGAAACTCGTTCTCAGGGTCGGCCAAATTAAAAAAAAAAAAAAATTATTTTCTCTTATGAAAAGATAGAGAATCTTTTCCCGATCATAAAGACACCAAAGTTTGAAATTTGATAAAAAACTTACGGAATTATGCTCTCGCAAAGTTAGCGGTCTCGGCGATGTTTACGCATCGGCGATTTTGCCCACTTTGAGCCCCATTTTCGGCCAATTTCACTGTACAGTGGACCCCCGGTTAACGATATTTTTTCACTCCAGAAGTATGTTCAGGTGCCAGTACTGACCGAATTTGTTCCCATAAGAAATATTGTGAAGTAGATTAGTCCATTTCAGACCCCCAAACATACACGTACAAACGCACTTACTTAAATACACTTACATAATTGGTCGCATTCGGAGGTAATCGTTATGCGGGGGTCCACTGTACTAGTCGACAAAAAACATGAATATTTCACTAGAACTCCATTTTTTCTATCGAATGGATGCAAGAAACCACTCATTTATGAAATTCAACTATCCAGTACAGTGGTCAGAATTTAGCAATTTTGCCAATTTCACACAAATTTCAAAAGATGCCAATTTCGGAATAGGGTCCAGAATAAACAAGAAAGACATTCCGGGCACTAAAATGACATTTCCTCTAGTCATTAGTCATGTCTCAAGTCCCCTCTTATATTCTTTTGCTTTCCACTTTGAATTTTTATTTTCACAAAAATATAAGATTTACTGTTATGCAGACTACTGCATTAGTGTAAAAAATGGTATAAATATTATTGGTGCACTTGTGAAAGAATATTAGACTCACCAGTTGACGTGTATTGCACGCTTGGCACGATTGTTTACTTTTGAAGTTTGGTAAAAATCGAACATTTCTGCTACTTTGAGCTCAATTTCAAGGCACCTTTCTTTGTAAAACCAGTCAAAATCATCTCAATTTCTGTAATATGTCTTCCATTCTATAAAATGAGACCAAGAAAACTAGAATACAACAATAAATACCATACGAAAATACACTGCAAAGTCGCTGATTTATTCAAAAAAAATGGTCAAAGTTTTTTTTTTCTCATTATGCACTGTGTGCTGCAGGATTTTTTTTAGACTGTGCACACTGACCACATAGACCCATTCTTTCATATGAAGGCCTACCAGCTTTCTCCCACTAGATTTGAGGCCGCTAGAATTTATGAGTACTAGTACGTCAAAAACCCCTACGCGTAAAACGTACTAGTACGACGAAAACCCTCAAAGGGTTAATATTATTGTTCTGAACTATATACGTACCTCATACCAATCATCGCAACAAAAGGCAGCTATTAGAGCCACCACAAAATCAATTTACATGCAACACACTATGCCTCTATTTGAATCCCTCAGCCTATTAAATATTAATGCTAAACATAATTATTATTGTTCATTCCTAATTTTCAAAACACTGCATTGTAATGCTGATGCTAGCCTGACATTTACACTACAAAACTGTAAGAGAATACAGAGGCATCACACCTGAAAGAAATACCTTCTTGACATTTGCCATGTTTGCCAGGATCTTTATAGACATTTAAAGTGGAAAAACTTGCTGAACATATTAAAATAAAATTTAACTTAATGAACTTGAACTGTGTGATACTGTATTAACAGTTTTTCTTGTGAATGTTAATATTACATAGATTTGAGTAATATTTTAAGAGATATGGCCGTGGAAACACTAACTAAATACCAATCTAAAATAAAATTTAATAAAATATACAGAAGTCAGAAATCTTCATGGATTATGAATTTGCAAGGACTTTTAACAACCTAGTCCTTATCAACCTTAATGTTCCAAAGTACAGGACAGTTCTTGGTTTCTTTCCTAGATCACTAACATATACAGTACACTATTTAAAACTTTCATAACAAGGCATTTACTTCATATTAATTAATACAACTTTCTACTGTTTGATAATTTGCCTATTAAAACAAAACTAAACTAAAGAATGTAATGATACATCGATAATATCTACAACAGCAGCAGCATTCACTGTAAAGATAATACCAAAGACTTTATTTTACAGACTCAACTGACCTAATGCAAAGAAAGGTCGAGGATCCATCATAAAGAAGTGGATGTCAAATATAGCCTCTGGATATGGCAGATTATACTTTTGTAGGTTGTCATACAAGCCAGTCCCTGGTGTTCTGGAATGTACAAATGGATTTAACAACACGCTGTATAGTAGTACTCTCATATACAGCAGACAATGTAATTAATAAAACATACCTGTGAAGTGTGAACAGATTTCTTACACTCCTGTAGACCAGTCTGTACCCAGACTTCTCAGACAACAGCCTAATCAGCCAGAATATTGCTACCTGCTGCCTGCTGAGGCCCTCCTCTCAGCACCTTCCCTCACCTTGCTCATACTACCAAACTTGGAGACAAGGGTTAACCTGTGTGTAGGACATTTCTTATTTAGACTTTGTCATAAGACTCAACTTCTATACTATGGCAGCAGTGTTCATTAACCCATGCAGTTTTGGTAAGACAGCTATTGAATGAGAGATGAAGATTTTCTTTTTTTGAGTCACCCTACCTCAGTAGGAAATGGCCAGAGTAATGAAAAAATATTAAAAAGATAGAGGAAAAGTATTGGAGAACTAAGTTTTAGTCAGATGTAACATGTAGGTAAATGCTAAACCCATAAGGGTCATACAGCATTTTGGTCAAGAAAAGATAGTTAAAATTTGCTTCAGCTGCTCGGTGGAACTCTGGCATTTTCTGAAAAATGTCATAACCTTACCTAACCAAAAAAAAAAAAAAAATAATATCCCCCTATCCCTAAGAAAGATAAGATTTTTTTTCAGATTTTTAACCCGAAGGGTTAGCCACCTAGAATAACCCAAAAGGTTAGCCACCCAGAATGACCTGAAGGGTTAGCCACCCAGAATGACCTGAAGGGTTAGCCACCCAGGATAACCCAAGAAAGTCAGTGTGTCATGGAGGACTGTCTTATCTTATACCCATTGGAGTCCTTCAATCTTGTTCCCCACAATGTGACCCACACCAATTAAGTAACACCTAGGTATAATAAACAGGAACACCAGGTATAAAGAAGCATGCCCAATGTTTCCACCCATGATGAGGATTGAGCCATGAACACTCAGTGTGTTAAGTGAAAGCATTGCCAACCAAGCCAATGCAAAACGTACTTTATATTACACACTGTAAACTATAACTTATCACCCAATTCTGCTGAGAAGCTAAAGCGAATAAATTATTGAATGAAAAGATTAGGGAAAGATTTGCTGACATTCTATAGATCAGTTAAAAAAAAAAATGTTTTGGATTATAATTCTTATAACTAAGTGCTAAGCCCACACATTATGTGTGTGGTTACATAATACACGGAAAAGCCCAAAGCTATACAATACATTTCGAACCCACTTAAGATTAAACATACACTAAATATAGCTATAGAGTAGATACGTATATTACATAAATGTTTAAGAAAATTTAATCAAGTTATATGGAGTTAGACAAATTAAGTGCAACGATTATTCTAAATAATAACTTGAAAGCATTACAAAAGATATGCCAGCAAGAAATTTTGGGTACAATGACAATCCAAGTGAGAACACTTGAAATAACTCTTCATTGTTACAAGAGACAGATACAAGAAATTAAGTACAATGACTATTCTAAGTAAAAAACCTCTTGTCATAACAGCTGTGTCAGAATGATGGGATTGTAACATGGTACAATTTATGGGTGTAGCAAACCCCAATGGAAATATGTCACAGACTTTTTTATGGGTTATCCTTGGTAATTTACATTATGTATGATAATTATTTATGTGTACCTGTGCCTTAATAAACTTACTAATAACAATGAAGACAAGGTACATGAGGATGAATACTCAACAAATACTCAATAGGGAGGTTTCAAAGATGCATTTGAGATGCATAATGCGATCAAGAATCACATTAGATTGGAGCAGTAAAATTGTTGGGATATGTTTAGCACTAAATGATACAAAGACTAGGAGTGCACTCGACTCACACACCGAGGTCCGTGGTTCAATACCCAGTATGGGTGGAAACATTAGGATGCATTTCCTTAAGACACCTGATGTCCCTGTTCACCTAGCAGTAAATTGGTACCTGGGTGTTAGTAGACTGGTGTGGGTCGCATCCTGGGGGAAAAATTGATCTAATTTGCTGGAAATGCTCTGTATAACCAGGGGCTTTCTATACAGAAATATATCATTGATGTCAGCTAGGTTTATATAAGTTGTATATGTAGAAACAAAGATTATTATTATCATCTCTCAAAGACAAGCTATGACCTACCTAAAATCTGGAATCCCTGAGGGAGTACTAATACCAGCTCCAACCATAACTAAAACATTTGTGGCACGTTCTTTAATAAATTTCGCTACATCTGTCACAGTTTTTAGTGTTGGTGTATTTTGATGTGAAGACCAGAGACCAATATGACGGCTGGACTGCAGGTCACACTGCCAAGACCAACATGATGACCTACAACATGGCAGGCCTACGCAAAATGTTGAAGATTGTCTATATAATGTTCGTAACACTGAAGACAAGTTTCCCTCATGTATTGCGGGACACTGGAATACACTATATGACTTGACTTGTCTCAAGACACTTCGTGATGAGGTTATTAATAATGACATCTCGAGATATCGTCAATATAACATAACTCGATTAAGGAAAACTTCGACCGGGTGATGATTTATCTTTTTCACACACAAAAACAAAACCAAAATTTTCATTAGGTATAACTTTTGTTTATTTTAGTGCCACGGAGTATAACAAGTTTAAATGTGTTATTCGTTTATATTTAGTTGAAGTGTATGTTAAGAATGTTGTGTAGAAGCGCACACTGGTGACTGTCACAAGACTCCACCCACAACCTTAGTTAAGGATCAACTTTATTATAAAACACTATTCATTGTGTATGAGTATTACCAAATATTGTAGGTTGTGGGTATATAAGAGTATTATATTATTATTATTATTTATTCTAAATATATATATTATTACTATTTAATTTATTCTACATGTATTATTATAAATTTAAATATTATTACTATGTAGATTTATTCTAATCCAAATATATTATAATTATTATTATTATTGGTCTATTTGAAGTTTATGGCCTAGTCTGAGCTGTTGATAATTTATTCCCTAAAATATCTAATATTTGGTGGGTTTATATGGAAATGACTCACGAAATCGTAATGACACGATTGCAAACAAACCATACCACGGGCAGGATTTGAACCCGCGGTCAGTCTCAAAACTCCAGACTCTCTGACCGCGGGTTAAAACCCCGCCCGTGGTATGATTTATATGGAAATGGTAACTTCAGGAAACTCACTGTAACCCAACCTAGGGTAGCCTAACGTAGTTTTACCTTACTCCGCCAGTGGTAGAAATGGGACTGGTGTGTTTCATGCTGCTGTGATTGGCTCAACTCATTACATAACTCAATAATAAAGTTTTTTTTTTATTTAAAATATACAGTATACATGCATATCACACATTGACGGAGTCACAATACATGAAACATTTATAAGAAAACATCCTTATAACTAACGGATGACAACCTACCCCTGAACATACATAATAAAATTGCCACTAGCCAAAAACTGACATTTATATTCATATCTTGTATGAAACTGTATATACAAATGTTTTTATATATAAAACAAATGCTTTGGCCTCTTACTGTACATTGTAATATTAGCATTTTATGTACCTAAACATTCTGTAGCTATTCATCCCCTAATATTGTATGTTTTATTTAGAGCACAGATATACAATATACATGTAATCATACATGATTGACTGAAATCACTAAACATGAAGCTATAATAAGAAATACACCATCCTTGTAACTAAATGATTTACTACCCACACCGTAACAAAAAATGCTACAAAACTTGCATGTATAAAATCTGTATATGTAACTGTAAACCATACATGAAAAACTTGCATCAAGAACATAGCACTTAACAAAAACAGTACCAGGGTTGTGACTTAAATTAATATACACTTTAAATGTACCAAAACCAAACATATAAAAATTTTTACATAAAACAGTGACATTAAACAATAAGTTGATACATTCCCAATAATAAAGTTGATCGACTCCCATGTGACACTTGTGCAAAAATTAATGTATTACTTTTATTAACAGCTCCCCAAATAAGACTTTGTGCAATAACTGTTGCCAGGGTATTGCATTATTATTATTATTATAATCAAAAAAGAAGCGCTAAGCCACAAGGGCTATACAGCACTGCAGGGTATTGCATTGCATTTTGCATAATACAGGAGCTGAGTTCAAACCAGGACCTAAACTCCATGTTGACTGAAGGCATTGTCCAATGTTATCTATTATGTTGGCGAGACCCATTAGTGGTAATAAGTCATGTCCAAGAATTAGGCCAATTTTAACAAATGGGTTGCAGAAGATATCCTCTGTACAAATATTCCATGATAATGCTGTCAGATAAGTATCGTTATGTTAATGATACTTAACTGTAATAGTTTAACTTGTAGAAGTACTTATTATTATTACAGTACTGACAGGGTGATGAAAATGACATGTACAACACCTGGGTATCTTTATTGTGAAGAGTTTTCCCAAATTATTGACTTTATCAATTCATTACAGTTTATATACAAAAGACAGTATTAAATAAGGTAACCAGCCCTTGACACAAGGCTAAGGGACTGATTACCCCATCTTCCACTATCTTCAAGTAATTATAGGGTTTACCAGTTTGAGGTATAAAATTATTATAATCATAACTGTTAAACCCACAAGGGCTTGAAGTGTAAAAATTTTTATCCAGGGTTGTAGTCCAAAGACTTCCTGTGGTGTAAGTGTTTCCAGGTGGTGGACCCCTTAGATTTTGAGCGGAGGAGCAAGCGAGACATAACACTAAATGTCTGTTGTACTATAAACTCATCTGGTAGAAAACTACGTTTTATTCTATTGTCTGATGCAAGAAAAATCCAAAAATCTTTGTTGGGCTGTGGGAGAAGCCAGGTCCAGTGTCAAGGTGAAAAGCATCAAAAGGAAAAGGCAGAATACTAAGTCTCAGGAACTGGGTGATCACTTGAAATCAGTTCCTGATTCTGAGGATAGTTCATGACCATGTAGAGGGTTGGTAGAATATGTTGCCACCACTTTAGTTTAGGAGAGGAAGGAAGCACCTCAATGGACAGTGAGGTGTGGGAACATCCACGAATTAAAACAATGAACCCTGAAAAGCAGTCTTATCCAAGGCAACTGATAGTAATGTCTCCAGATACCATCTCTGGTGGCACCTCCAGCACTGACCGAGCAAGACCTAGCTAAATCACCAAGTCATACACCTTCAGATGCTGCTCTTGAATTCATAGGCAATGTATTAAATAACAGCAAGTGGAGGCAGGCAGTTTTTGACTTGATGTGGTGTTTTAGTGTGAGCAAAGTAACATTTATGAAGGGATTCAGGGAAACTGGTCAGATGGATGTGAGTCCTAGAGGTAGAAAGTACACTCTGAAGGAGGAGTGAGGATATTTCAGTTTGGAGAAGCATCAGAGCTGTAATGTAGACACACCTCTGGCAAGATAGTGATTGAGTGATGATGAAAGCATTTCTTCTTTTTCGGGTTACTCTACCTTGGTGGGAGGCAGTAGATGTGTTAAAAGAAATACTGTATAAATGTATAGTAAAAATCATGTAAACTGGTGCAGCATTTTGGAAAGGTATGCAAGAATCAACAAGTTTCACTTGCTGCAATGCTTATCAATCTTACAACAGCAGGTAAGAAGACACATTAAGAGAAGATCAAAACCACTACCTTCACCAGTATGGGTGGACCCCTTGTTGACCCAGATAATGACTCTGGTAAGCCTGACCAAATTTAAATATTTTTTTTCACAAAAGTTCTTACCCCTACATATTAACATCTCAAAATTACTCAGTGTTGGTAAGGGTGGGTCCTGTGAACCCTCTAAAGAATTATTTAATAACACTACATTTTTCAAACACATTTATTTACTGTACAGCAAATTATTATTATACCATATTTAAATAACATTTATTAAATCTGAGTGAGTCATATAGCTATTCAATGTACAAAGTATCAAAACATCAAATGTTATGAATACAGTACAGCTATCAGTATAAAATTTATAAATTCATTAACATTTTTCTTAAATACTTATTAAAAAAATCTGAGAGAAAACAATAAGAAAAATCACAAAAAATCAACACTATAGCAAAATTAATAATTTCATTATTTTAAAAAGCAGCTAAACCTGTATATAACAGCACTACAATGCTATACAGTATAAAAAATCAAAGGCTATTAACCCATAAACGGTCCAACATTTGAAAGTATGTAAAAAAAGTAGATCTTGTTTTTTTACATTTGAAAATGTGCAAAAAACTTTGATCTACTTTTTTTTTGTTATATTTGAAAATATGTAAAAAAAAAAAACGTAATCTACTTTTGGAGCGCTACGCATATGAACGTAGATCTGCTTGGACCGTTTATGGGTTAAAGGACTGTACGTACTCAATTCTTTGGCAATTTTATTATCAGTTCAATGGTGTGCCACAGGACAAACATTGAATGTAATGATTTCTTCACCCTGAGGTGGCTGGGCCTCACAGAGCCACTTTTACACAACAAAGAAAAAAAGATATACATATACTGTACTGCATTTGTAAATTTTATCATTCCTCTCATAAAATGGTACTTTATTTTAAAAATGCATCAAAAAATGTTAAAAAATAAATTTGAAAAGTCCATATGATAAACAGCATTTCTGGAAAACAAACTATTTAAAATTAGAAATTTACTGTTATGGAGCTGTTTCAGCTTGTAAGTTTAGAAAAAAATATTGACAGGTAAAATAAAAAAAATATAGAGAGTAGAACCTTTGTATCCATGGAACAGGTTTCTGCAGTTTGTTATCCATGGTTTACCATGGCCCAAAAAAAAACCTTAATTTTGCTAAGTGCAAAAGTAAAGATCTTGGCAGTTCTTCAAAGCCTAAAAGAATCTGTGAGGTGCTTACCATCAGTTAAAAAGTGCTAATTCTTTACTTTCTATGCATACTTTATCATAAGTATGTATGTAAACAAAAAATGACTTATATACAGGGTTCACTACTATCCACAGTTTAGGGTATCCATGGTAGGTCTTGGAATGTATCCCCCAGAGATACAGGGGGACTACTGTATATACAGTAGTACATCGGTACTCGAACAGCCCCCAACTCAACAATTCAGTATTCGAATGCTTTGTTTGGTAAAAAAAATCGCTCGGTAGTTGACTTTGCTTGGCACTCGACCAAATAATGTGCATCAGTCTCCCTGCAGCTGTCGCTCAGTGCAAACTCCGCTGAACTTCACTGTAAATTATTTCGTGCTTCTTGGCATTTTTTTTTATTTGTATAAATGAGTCACCATAGGGCCTAAGATTAGTGATAACAGCCAACCAAGAAGAAAATTGGTTAGAGTCACAACAGAGATGAAAAATTATTTTTAATTATTCCTTATGGGAAAAATTCATTCGGTACTTGAACAGCTTTCTGGAATTAAGTTTGAGGACCTAGGTACTACTGTATATTCTGAGGAAAAGTCTGAGAAGAACAAATGTTATGAAGGCTCAGGGGTTGACTCTGCAAGTGATAAGATTTTATACACTGTACATACAGTAAAGCCTTGATTTAACAGATCTCCATGTAATGGATTTTGGAAATGGACAAATTATGGCAGATGAATTGATTTCAGAAATAACAGACAAAAATCTGCTGGTACAGAATTGTCCATAGTTATAGCATATAAGGAACAAATTACACACACGAGATAAACCCACTGAATACAGCATTGTCTGTCATTGTCATGGCAAAAAAGTTAATCAATCC